TGGCGTAGCCGGGACTCCACGGCAGGGATTATCCGGGGTATTCCGGGTGATCCCCGCAGACGTGCGCAGCGCAGGACTCCCCCGATGGGAGCTAAGTGTGCGGCCTATTGCCCACCGCACCGCTCCCCGCTGTGGAAGGACTGCCTAGGCGTTGTGCACTGCTGAGGAGTTTTTTTTTCAGGATCCAGAGACCTTTGCCCTCCGCTGATAAAAGTTCATCGTCTGCAGAAGCCAGTGATCGGTCATTATAATTAAAACTTAATCATCGTTCGTTAGTTAATAAGAAATTAGAATAATAACATAATAATGTTACGGGAATAATGAGCGGTTCACGTGATTGTTAATATTACTTACATTGTTATAGAAACTTGATTACACCATTCTACCATAAGTAGTTTGGTACAGAAAAGGTAGTTCTCTAAACTGACCCGACCGGGGTTCGAATCTATAACCCTGTAGCGAAGATTCCTGACTAGTACGATAACACCTCAGCTACATCCATAGCGTTATAAACATTTAAATTCGACAGCTTAAAAAAATAACATGAAAAAATGTTTTCAATTAGCTTAATTTTATTTAGCTTCCTCTATCCCGTTAACTGTCTGTCTATCTATCGGTTATCTTCTTCTTCTTCCAGTGTCTCTCCAACTAGTGAAGGCTGGAATTCAGCTCCGCATATAACAGCCGGTCTTTGGCCAGGTTGAAAACTACGCGGCACTTGTGATTCCGATCCATTTCCGTATATTGCGCAGCCACGACTTCTTCCTACGTCCAACAGCTCCTCTTCCAGTTTCCTTGTCCACCATTATCAATTGTAGAAGCTCGTATCTGGAGTGCTTAAGCACATGACCTAAGTATGCAACCTTTCTTCTTTTGATAGTCTGCATCAGTTCGCGTTTCCGCCGTTCATCTGTAATCAAATCTTTCAAATCAATTTAATTCCAACTCAAACGCAAATATTATAGTATTCGAGCATGGTCATGGGAACTCTGTAATGAAACGATGAAACCTTATAAAATATATAAACTCGTTCGACTTCGTTTGATTCGTCTTGTAGTCTGCAAGTACTTCATCTGGTTCTTTAGTGTTGAACTGTTGAATAGATGACTAGCTATGTGACATCGTAAAGATTCCAAATAGTAAAAACGTAACAAAATAAATAAAATATCTTTTTTCAAATGTAATATTTAAGAAAGAAAGAATTACCTAGTTAAAAATAATTATATCAACTTTTTTCGATTGAGAAATTTCGATGAGGAACCTGGTATTGACATAACCGAAATTTTATACCAAATTGGCTTATTGTGTCAACACAAATCGCCAACTTGTAGAAATACAAAAAAAAAATGAGAAAAGTGCAACAATTGGTAAGAAGCTGTTGTTTCAAGAAAACGGCTTGCTTATTTCCAAACAGAATAGAAATGTTTTGAACCGTTTGTTATTTCTGTTTATTTACTATCGTATTTTAAATAACAAAGAGTACAAGTTTATTTTTGTTTCTTCCTTTTTCACGTGGGCAATATTTGTTTACTGTAGCAGTACATTGAACCGACAATAAATAGGTCGACAGACCGCGACTCTAACTATGTGCTTATGTACATCAGTTTTCAAGGTGTTGGTTGAGAGTAGGGTTACCAACTTTGTTTTTATCAAATATAGTATTTTCGAAGCTTAGTTTTTTAGAAAGATGAAGAATGAATGCCTTTTGTACCATTGTTTATATTTTGGTCAATAAAGTTTAAATAAATAAATAAATAAATAAATGAAAGCAGAAATTTCGAAGTTACTTCTTAAAATAAAGTAGTTGGCAAAAATGGAAAAAATATAGTATGTGCTTTTGCTTTATTTTTGTAATGAATGTATATTTGCTGCTCTATGGCTTAATAATTATTTTTTTATGTTTAAGAAAGCTTTTTCTGGCATATATCTGCTTTAAGCATAATATAGTAGTTTCACCTACTATACAAATATTTTTTTAAGAAATATAGTATTTGAGCCCCTAATATACAAAACCAAGGATACATACTATTATGTATCCTACTATATTAGGGGCTCAAATACTATAGGGTAATATAGGTGTAGGGTTGGCAACCCTAATTAAGAGGTACTGGGCTCGACACCCAGAGGAGCAATAAATTGTACACGAGCATTAATTGTATCTTAGTCATGGCTGCTTAGATATATATTTCTAGTAATAAATATTCATGTATGGTATCCTTTGTTTATTTCTGTCCGTTGCCCTAGTTGACCATAACACAAGCACAAGCCATACAGTACCCCTAGCACGAACCATTATCGAATTCGAATAGTTTGCGAACCGAAATGTCAATGTCAAATTTTGTATGGAAACTTGAACAGCAGCGGCACAAAGTACGTGACGAGAACTAAAAATCAGTACAGATATGACAATGACATTTCGGACTCGCAAACGTTACGAATTGGATTTTGGTTAGTGCTAAGTGTTCTTACTTTAGGGCTAGGCTAATTGGTGTTCAAAATATCTATCTATTTCATTGTTTTAATATCTTGAAAATAAGATAGCGTAACTCGTCATGGACGATTCAATCGAACTCGATGCGTTTGATACTACAACGTCTTGCTGCTACTGTGTAGCTGAAAGTCCACTGCAAGCATATTTAATCATTCCGGTCGACCTAAATGCACTTTATTTTCAAACTCTAGCCCCCTTATTATATAATAAACGAGGATTGTTTTAAACATTCATGGTCACTAACATTATAGCTATTCACGGGATTGTTATCATGTACCTTGTTTTTTATGAGTTGACAGTTACTCCGTGATCATGGCGCTTGCAACAGTGCAGAAATATCGGAGACTCATAAAAAACAAGGACGAGGATTAATCTTAGACTAGTTACGCCGTATTTAGTTCATAGCACTCAATGTCTTTTGTCTTTCAATGAGCAGTGACAAAACATGTAGTAACTAATCCAAGCTTATTCTTCGTTTAAGGGTAGTATCTAAATTATTTTACATTATCATAAACGACAATGCGTCATAAATTTTAATTATACGTCAACGTTGTATGTAAATTTTTTTTTTTTTTTTTTTTTGTATATCTGCAACTTGGCGATCTGTGTTGACACAATAAGCCAATCAGTTGGTATAAAATTTCGACTATGTCAATACCAGCACAAGGAACTCTTTATTCGTTCCTTAATCAAATCTCGCAACCAGCGTAGGGACATCATGCCGCTTTAATCGGTTGTGTGTCACACTTCCTGCACCCTGTAGTTTAGAGGCCAGTTCATTGACGTGACTTGATATTCGAGTTTGATAGGATTTACTATGTTTAGCAATCTCCTGTTTGACTGTATTGATGTTTAGGTCCTCATGAATATATTTGTTGCTCACGTAGTATGGTATGTTTAACATGGCTCTCAAGGTTTTGCTCTGGAATCTTTCTAGGATCTCGATATTGCTATTAAGTTGCTCGGAGGGTAAGTGGGCTAGAACAGATCTCGAAAAGGCCCAAGTGTTCGCTGAACATCTTAAATCTGTGTTTCAACCACTTCCTAGTAACGACTCCGAGCATGACAGAGAAGTTAGCGAACACCTACTCTCACCATCACAAATGTGTATACCAATGGAAAGTGCTAGCCCCAGTGAAGTACGTAAAGAAATATTAAATTTGCAGGATGGTAAAGCACCTGGATACGATTTAATTGACGCGCAATTGCTAAAGCAACTTCCTAAAAAGGGATTGATGTACTTAACAGCAATTTTTAACGCCTGCCTAAGGCTTAACATCTTTCCCGCTCAGTGGAAAATAGCGCAGATCATAATGATACCCAAACCAGGCAAATTACTTCATGAAGCTAGTTCTTACAGACCTATAAGCCTTCTCCCTGTAATGGGGAAACTTCTAGAAAAAATAATCCTGAACAGGATGCGCTTCTATTTACCGGCAGTGGTGCCACTTCACCAATTTGGATTCCGAGGAGGGCATGGAACCATTGAACAAATCCACCGCATAACGGATACTATAAGTCGCACCCTGGAATATAAACAGTTCTGTTCCGCTGTGTTCCTGGACATCAGTCAGGCCTTTGACAGAGTGTGGCATGACGGACTTCTGTTCAAAATCAAACAGCTGCTTCCTCATTCACTTTTGCCAATATTGAAATCGTATCTCGACAAAAGATGTTTTGAGGTAAAGTTCAAAAATGAGACTTCTCAATTAATAGAGATTCTTTCAGGAGTGCCACAGGGAAGTATTTTGGGTCCCATACTGTACCTCCTGTATACTGCAGACTTGCCGACGCAAGACGATACCATAACAGCTACATACGCCGATGACACAGCCGTGCTCTCTGTTCATGATAATCCAGAAATAGCATCAGCTAAACTACAAGCTCACGTCTGCAAGATTGAAGAATGGCTACACAAATGGCGCATTAAAGCAAACCAAAGCAAATCTGCGCATGTTACCTTCACTCTCAGAAAACCAACTTGCCCTCCTATAAAACTCTACAATGAGAATATTCCCCAAGCTGAGGATGCCAAATATCTCGGTATGCATCTTGACCGAAGATTGAATTGGAGAAAGCATATCTGGACTAAGCGTAAGCAACTGGACACAAAAGTAAGATCGATGTACTGGCTTATAGGTCGGAAATCTCATCTGTCACACGAAAGCAAGATTGCAATATATAAGACCATCCTGAAACCAATATGGACATATGGTATTCAGCTGTGGGGGACCGCTAGTAATAGCAATATCGAGTGTATGTAAATAAAAAGGAAATCATTTTTATATAAATAAGCTTTATTTTGACACGTTAAACTTCTTAACAATCCCATGTGTAGTCTTTTGAAATAATAATGCAACTTCATGAAATATATGTATTACTGTGACTTAAACCTAATAATAAAACATTCAAAATCACATTATCGTATGTACAAACAACAACACGAAATACAATACAGCAAAAATACATTATAATTTATTAATACTTTTACTATTAAACAGGATCACAAGCAGTGCCGTCTTTGACCTATTGGTGGCCCTGGGCATATTAGGATAATGGGGCCCCTATGAACTAGGGACTTTGTATTTGATCTGAGGGGGGCCCCTATTGATCGCGGGGCCCTGGGCAATCGTCAAAGTGCCCACTGGGAAAGACGGATGTGATCAGAAGTAAGTACTTCAAAGGGCTTAACGAACTTGTCTGACATAAGGCAGCGCTGTCACTTGATCGTTCATAAACAATTCCTTGCCGTACCGCTTCAAAAGCTCTAAGGCCACACCATTGGTCCAACCAAACCCTTCTTGGACTTTGTACTCTCCACCACTGCCCTGGTGTCCTGGCTGCACAGCACTATACTTCTCAAACATTTTATGCCAATTACTATACCCGATGTAATTAGCTCTGATCCATATTTTCGCTTGCTCTTTCGCTAGAGCTGCAGCATCCTTATTTCCACTGGCATCTAGTCCGCCAATCAAAATACTCTGCATGGGGGGCCAGGCATTAGGATAATCCCACTGCTCGCCAGAATATAATACTGAAGAAGGTACCCCACCGGGAAAGTCTAACCCTCCCGAGGAGCGAAGGTATTTCACAATTTTTTCGGCGTAGACAGGGGCGTCAGACTTTTCCACAGCGCCTGACCACAAAGGAGTTGCACAGCTCGGATAAAAATGTTTTCTGAGTGCTCTCGCTTGCGCATCATAATCGTACCAGACCCCGTCATCCGGGTCCCACATCACATTATCTATAGCTCTCCTCCAGTACTTAGCCAGGCTGTACCATTTTTGAGCCTCGCGTCTATCCTTCAGCAGACTCCTGAAATCTCCAGCTAGCTCAAGAGCACCGGCAAATATGGCGTTCAAATCAACAGGTAAGATTCGTGTAGCATGAACATCAGTCAAATGACCGATCACATCGCCGGCCGTCACGAACCATCTTGTGGAAAAATCCCAACCACTCTCCGCGGCGCTTTTCATTTCTAGATAAAAGTCCTCGCGCTGCTCGTGTGGTAGTTGGAGGGCGTTCATGTAGTCTTCGTAATAGGACTCCGGACGTGGGCCATTGCTGCTTTTATCAGATATATACCGGAGCAGCACATATTTCTTTTTATCTATTTCAACAGTCACTTTCTTCTTATCCAACCAATATTGTAACTCTTTCTCTACTGTCGGCAAATGTTGTTCTAGCCACGACAGATCCCTAGTGGCCTCGAAGTAATACGATACCATTGCAGCAAGAAGCGGAGGTTGACTTCTACCAAGGTAATATTTTCGACTACCATTAGGAATGTATCCTAGTTCGTTAACAAAATAAAGTAGGTTCTCTATCATGCCTTTTGCAGTTTGTGTCATATTACTTATGAGGAGACCACGTATCATCCAATAGGAATCCCAATAGTAGATTTCTTTGAACCGTCCTCCAGGAACTATGAAACCGTTGGGAATATACAAAAAACTATATTTGTCTGGATTTTTAGCAACTTCGAGGTCAACTTTTCGTCCTAATTTCGACCAAATTCCAATAACATTCTTAGCAAATACTTTAAGCTTAGGATCGACTATCTCGTTTAGTATCGGTGGTTCAGGATCAAAATCCGGCGGCATCCAATTTAATAATTCATTTCCTTCCATAAAGTGGTCGTCCACGAAGCTGGTGAGCTGCTCACGCGATGGATTTTTATTAGTGTCATGCATCAATTTCGAGAAATCAGCGAGTGTTTCGTTTTCAGTTTGAATAAGTCTCATATCTACGAAAGTCTTCGAATCCGCGTATATGCGCGAGAGTTGAACTTTCTGCAGTAGATCCCCGACACAATAGATAGATGAATTGCAGATAGGAACAAGCGAGAAAGCCTGGGTGTAAGCGCCCAGCAGCCCTAGTACAGGGTACAAGGACACACATCGCGGTATTCGGAGTCTCAACATGTTTGTTTATCTTTAGAATTTTCGTCGAACATGAGGCGGCGCACAGAGTTCAAGAGCGGGAAACGCGACGATAAACATAACCTTTGAGCGCGTATCGCGTAGCGGAGGGACGCGCGACAAGTGGCAAGCGCCGAGATGCGTGCCGCCAACTGTACTGGCCGGGCCGCGTGCGCCATGACCGATGTGTGTCAGCAGGCGAGTACAAAGCGCCCTCTCTTCATTTCCACTGATGCAACGGACGAGCCCCCGCTTTCACTAGGTCAGCCTCCCCGCCACTGAGCACTCGTCACTGGGCCACGGGAGTCAATATACGCGCGCGACGCGAGCGTCAAGGCCCGAGTCTCGGCAGAATGCCAACAATCGTTGAATATAAACAACACATTCGTGTGAATCTTGTAATGTTATCGGACATACTGGCAAACTTGAGCGTGACGTTTTTATAGATAACACTGGATAACACATTCATCCAGTGCATATCCAATACTATTTCAATCGCCAATCAAAACAGTCATACGGATGAAGTTTCATGGTGTTTGACTTTTTTCAGCCTATAAACTGGCGCCTGTATCAGCACGAGCATGCGTATCAGCTATCGGCATCAATCGTTACGTCACATGACAGATGTTTGCTTGGTTTTATATCTAATGGTTTTAGTGAGGTTTTGTCTATGTTAAGTCATAATCATAGATAAATGATTGGTCTCGCTTCACTCGACTGAAGCGAGACCAATCATTCGTCCTATGGTCATAATCATAAGCATTAAGTTTGTCGTGTTTCGTAATGACTTTAGTTAAGCGTAGCGAAATCCAATGTCCATGAGTTTAGTTTAACTTTTGCTGATTGATACTATAATGAATAAGCGTAACTTTATGAAAGTACACAACAAATCGGACCACGATAAGGCTGCACGAGTAGACTGACAGTGGCAAAAATTAAAACTGCACAAGGCATTAATGATAATAATTAAATAAACTTTCCCTGATACTTTATTATTGACTGACTTAAAAAGGAGGAGATTCTTAATTACATATATTTATACATAAATTGTTGTTCGCACATTTATGGGTCGATTTCGATGATTCAGTTTTAAGGTTCCGTATTCAACGGGTAAAAACGAAGCCATTGCTGACATTCTGTCGTCTGTCTGTCCATATGCCATGGGTCTATAGATCGTTAACGGAATGAGTTACAGAACAAAGCCGAATTTTTAGTTCAAAATTCAATTTCATTATTTTTAATGGGGGGTCTCATACGAGATACGTCATTGTCTAGGGCTTGTTGAGAAGGATATGAATATTGTTACGTATCGTGATGGGGTTCGAAATTATAATGCCAGTTCACACTAGACAGTTTTTATTTATAGCGCGGTAGGCAAATGAATGAGTGGTGATAAAGTCCAAACGCGAAGATAGCTGGTACAGCGAACTGCTACACCAACCATCCTCACCTTGCCGGCATGCAAAAATGCTTCTTCAAGCCTTTCTTAAAGGATTCCAGATTATAGGAAGGAAATTCAACTCAACTGTCCCTGCCCAGAGCCAAGCGCCTTTAGAAAAGAGTAGCCGTGAAAGGTGTCATTTTTAAACAATTTTGGTACGTGGTCTATCTCAAAATCAAAACTAATTAAAAATGTGAAAGTTTGATTTGTGCTATATGCACATCAAATACCAAAACTTTAATTTCTAAATCTTTAAGTATTTAGTAAGGTACAAGCCACCGATCGGATTGTCTTTACCTACTATCACCTGTTTTAAACCATAGCAAGGCTTAAAATAATCTTCATCAGTTCAAATACAATGATTCGGGTTTCACCTTACTTGACCGGGTCAAGTCATGTGTACGACATACTTAACAAAATAAATACATGGGATCATTGATGTATGAGGCTCCGAATAATAACTAGTATGCCGAGATATTAAGAACATTTACAGGAGTATCTACATTATTGAAGAAAAATAAATAATATTTGTTTCTTAGGTTTTCACGCACATCACTCATTAAATAAAACCAGTTTATTTAACTGAGCAACGTTTCGTTCCTAGAATGATACGCGAGGCTATTGAGATTAAAAAATATCCAAATTTCAATAGGGAAGATAGTTGGTATATACCACCAGCTTGGGAACACACTGCAAGACCAACAGATACTATTAGTTCTTTTTGTTTGCATAATTTAACATAACAAGGAGATAGAAAGCCTCTCTTGAGTTTGTTTCGCCGGTTCTTCTCAGAAAGGTCTCCCAATTTTGGAACCGGTGGTAGTTTACGGTAGTTAGGGTCAAATAAATAAACTCAAAATTACAAAAAAAAATTAAATAAAGTACATTATTAACTAAATTAAGTAATAAATTCATACATAGACAATAAAAATTTAAAAAATCGAACAATGAAATAACCGAACGCTCAATAAAAGTCTTTCGAAGGTAGCTCGACAAAATTAAATAAAATTTGATTCTAACGACGTAGCCTGTAAAGGCTACGAAACGTCAATAAATAAATAAAGTTTCGTGCATTAACCCGTAATAAACTGGTTTTATTTAAAAATAAATAAGTTAATTTATTGACATCCCAAAATACTGGCTTACGGGATTTATTAATACTATTGGCTTCAATATGTGTTTCACAACACAGGTGAGCTTAGGTAATTAGACTTATCATCCATTGTTATTAGTAACTTAGTTACTAAATAATAAATAAATACGAACAAATAGCCTCAAAAGCTCTGAATCAATTTTATACGGATTACAAGTAGGGTTACCAACTTTTTTTTCTATTAAATATAGTATTTTCGAAGCTGTCAACTCTAAAAATATAGTTATAAAAATATAGGTATATACTCGTTAGTTTGTTTCGATGGAGCTGTCATGTCATCGGACAAAAGCTCCTAAACAAAAATGATAAAAAAAGTTTAGCTATCAGGTTAAAATATTTTAACTTTAAAATCAATATATTTTTGCTACTCTGTGCCAATAAAATTATTTTATTATTTTTAAGAAAGCCTTTAGTTGCTAAAGTCTGCTAAAAATATAGTAGTTCCGCCTACTATCTTTATATATATAATTCTTCTGTGAGTGTGTATGTCACTGAACTTCTCTTAAACGACTGGACCGATTTTGATGAAATTTTTTGTGTGTGTTCAAGGGGATCTGAGAATGGTTTAGATTCACAATTTTGTCCGCTGGACAACCCCTATTTTTTTAGAGCGGTACGAAGTTCGCTGGGTCAGCTAGTATCTATATATATTTTTTAGAAATATAGTATATGGTCCTCTAATATAGTAGGATACTATATTATAAAGTAGTGTTGGCAACAATTCCCATTCGCAATGCCTGCTGAACAAGTATTTATTATAACAGTAAAGTTAGTTTTTAAAAATTATAAAGAGGAGCTCGATGGCGCAAGTGGTTAGCGCGTTCGGCTGCGATCGTTGAAGTTAAGCAACTTTCGCAGTGGTCGATCATTGGATGGGTGACCAAAAATTTAATAACATGAGCTCCTCCGTGCTTCGGAAGGCACGTTAAGCCGTTGGTCCCGGCTGCATTTGCAGTCGTTAGCACCCACCAATCCGCACTGGGCCAGCGTGGTGGGTCATGGCCCAATCTCCCTATTCCATCCATAGGGAAGGCCTGTGCCCCAGCAGTGGGGACATTAATAGGCTGATGATGATGATGAAAGCGAGAGTCCAAATAAAAAGAAATCCCTTAAAATTATAACTAAAGCATATAGAAAATTATTCTGAGAAGTTTACAAGCGTATAAAATTTTCGTTTTTTAACGCCTTACTGTTGGATATTACACAACATTTTGTTATTTCTAACCGCCGAAATACCTCACGCTCATTTTCTTTAACATTGTTATTACCAATGCAAAAGAAAAAAAAAGAGCGCGAGGCATTTGAAAACCTCAGGGGGCTAGAAATAACAAAATGAAATCGTAAGCGATAGCGTTTTCCAAAGCAATCCAGTTAGGCGATTGGCCCCCAGACCCGTCTTTCTCAGTGGGGACTTTGGGCAAGTGCTCAGGGACCCGCGATCGATAGGGGGCCCCCTCAGATCAAATACAAAGTCCCTAGTTCCTGTTAAATCACCAAACGGAAGTCATAGGGGCCCCATTATCCTAATATGCCCAGGGCCTCCAATAGGTCAAAGAAGGCACTGGCCATGTTAACAGGTCTTTTTAAAGTAAGAGAACAGACTCATATGCTCAGTCGTCGCCCTCGGAAACCTAAAATGTGTAAAACAGCTCTTATGAAAATAAGTGTTGTTCAAATAGCTCCTAAGTTATATAATAAGTTCCTTGACAGCATTAAATAATATTACATTCTTACGTCTTCGTTTGATTGAGCTGTTTTTTTTTACGTTAATTTTTTTTTCTTTATCTTTATTTATTTAGAGGCTACGAAATATGCCAGCCTCATCGTACCCTATCCAAAATATACACAACTAATTTAATTTAAAACATTGGAGAGGGCGAGCTATTCTTACTAGCGAAAACCATATCAAATATCGACTTTGCTGCATCTGAGTTTGGTAGTGCTAATATTTCCACAAACGAACCTATATTTTCAAAGTTAAGTTGTTATTGTTGTATTAATAGCTCTCTCTCTCTCTTCTGTTCTTCACACATTGCTTCAAAATGTGTTGGACATCGTCCACTTTGTTACATATTTCACAATTGGGAGAAATAGCTTTCTTCATCAAATGTGCAAACTTCCTAGATGGATAATGACCTGATCGTAATCTGTGAGCAAGGACGACATATGACCTATAAAAGTTAAATTTCTTCACAGCTTCAAGGGACCAAATGGTTTAAATTTTAACTCGATACCTACACGCGTTTCCTAGTTATAGCGTCTGGATAGACAAACAGACGAACAACATAGTCATCCTATAAGGATTCAGGTTTTCCTTTTGAGGTACGGAATCCTAAAAGGTCAATACGTTACTCTGACATGCTTTGTATTTTAGAACTGGGGGCCATTCGCCTAACGGAAATGCTTTGGAAAACGCTAACGCTTACGACTTCATTTTGTTATTTCTAGCCACCTGAGGTTTTCAAATGCTACGCTGTCTTTTTTTTCTTTTGCATTGGTAATAACAATATTAAAGAAAATGAGTGTGAGGTATTTGAAAACCTTCGGCGGTCAGAAATAATAAAAGGAAAAAGAAAGCGTTAGCGTTTTCCAAAGCATTTCCGTTTGGCGAATGGCCCCCTGACCGCTTATGTGTGCAAGTTAACAATAAAAGAAAACAAATAAAGACACAGCCCTTTTATTTAATTGTGCTTAAATAATTTGTATGTTAATCCTTATACATCTAGTAGCTTATTTAAAAAAATATGTTATTAAATTCCCTTCATTAGATTTCTTGAACTATCTTATATAGCATGGTAATTGTGGTAATGATAAAACTATTGTTCTTGTATAAAATACGTAATATTTTTTATTCATACTTATATTTTTTAATTATGCCATCTTTCAATTTAATAAAATACTAAACTAGCTCTTGTTTATAAGTAATACTCTGTAAATATATGCGATATCTTTACCATGTAAGTACTTATTTTTGCAAGTGATTTATTCACAACCATTTTCATTAAAATTATGAGGTATTGTGTCACAACACCAATAGTTTAGTTATGAATATTTGTGCCCTTGTATAATATAATTATGATAAAAGGTATCTTATAAATAAATTAATGGTAATAAAACATAATTATTTAAACAATTGTACAATATTTAAAGGTGCCATTATTTAGCTTAACAATAACAAATAAATTACTTATGTAAATGTCGTAGGGCTTGTAACAATCGTGCATTTTCACAGAAATAAATCAAGATTTATTTTCTGGGTGCATTTTAATATTCATTAGTGTCGATTCTGGTATGATTCTTTCAACTTAAATCTTAATTCAACATCTCCTTTTCATTCGGTATAGAGAATGACACTGATACACTGTTGTCAAATTTAAGTTTAGGTTGAGAAAATCTTGCCCGAATCGACACCGATATCGTAGTTCCATAATATAACGTGTGCTTAAATCTTAAAAATATCTGTCAGAGAAGGGAATACACATTTTATTTAATATGTATCTTAATATTAATATCACACATGTGCCTACTATTTATTAAGTACACCACTTAATTTAAGTTTAAAAAAAACGTGCGACGCTGTGAAATTAAATCAGAAGATAGGATCTCAAATAATAATATATCTTAATGCAGTTATCTGCCTACAAATTTAAATGCAGTATTTATAAACAAATTATACTTCAAAGATTAACAAAGTAGAATACAAAAACGTTATCTAGTTTATCATGTCCGTGATTAATTTTATTAATTAATATTTTAACTAAGTATGTAGTCAGAAGTAAATAAAAAATAATCTAGTTTAAATTTTGTTAGTAGCTTCATTTATAATACAATACCGAGAAAAAGTACCAAGTAGAGTAGGAATAGTATTAAATACATACAAATTTATCGAAGTAAATATGATCTTCTTGATATTTAAGAATACTTATGTGCATACATCTGTTAATGTCATAGCTATGTTTTTTTTTGTTGCATTTCAATGGTAACACAGGATAATTATCTTAGAATGAAAATCGGAATATTTTCATCAAAATATTCTGGTATCCATTAGTAAGTTGTACTTGAGAAATGTAAAATACTATCATTTATTAACATAACATAAGTAAGTACATTTAAAACACATTGAACTTATCACATTCCGCTCATTATGTTTCCATAGTAAATGATTTTCGCAATTAGCTAAGTGACCCTGTCTAAGAAAACTAAATTGAAATAATGTGTTTCAATGTCCGTCATAATTAAATATTTCGCTTTGTCTTATGGCACTTCATAAACTATTCACAACCGATGGAAATCACGCATATGTTAAACTTACTAAAAGTTATAATAATACTAAACAACAGTTTTTTCTACAATTTTCAATGTTTAATAGAACATGTTGTTTATTAGGTAACTTGGTACTATTATTACGTGTTGTTGAAAATCGTCTGCATTGTTTTAAATGTATATTTTATAACAAATTGTTGCAGTTATAGTAAATTAGTGCGCGCTGAAAGACTATAACTTATCATAAATAAAGATAATTAGGTCTTGATTAACAAAGTAGGTAATCATAAATAAATAGTACACTTTCTGTTTTTCCTTGTCTTAATCTTAATCGTGAGCAGTCATCTTTCTACCATATTTAGCGAGGAACTCTAAAACCACGCCATTGGACCAGCCAAATCCACTCTGCACCCTATACTCGCCACCACCGCCGTATAGACCAGGAACTTCCGCGTCATATTTCTCAAACATTTGTTTGTTAGCCGTAAAACCTTTCTGACAGGCGCGCACCCAAGTTTGTGCCACTTGAAAAGCTAATTTGTTCCCTTCATCTGTGCCAAGCGCCTCTAGAGCATTCACCATAATACTAACTAGAGGTGGCCAAGCATTAGGAAAGTCCCACTGCTCTCCGCTTCTAATCAAAGATGAAGGCACTCCACCCTCATAATCAAGACCGTGGGACTTCTTCAAATAGTTGAGCACGCGAGCCGAACGCCTTCTAATCAATGATTTCGACACAACACCCATCCATAAAGGAGCAACATTGCTCGGATAGAAGTATTTGCGGTGATTTTTGTAAGGCAAATCGTAATCATACCATACACCGTCTGTGTCATCCCAGAGCACCGCTTCGATGTTGTCCCTCCATTGTTTTGCTAGGAAAGCCCAGTGGGCGGCTCTGAACGGGTTCAAAACCAATGCTTGGAAATATGCCATGTTCTGTAAAGCATTGGCGAATATAGCATTTAGATCAACAGGGATAATATCTCTAGTGTGAATTGTCGTTAGGTTGCCACTGTTGTCTCCGTCATTGCCGACGAACCAACGAGATGAGAAGTCCCAGCCACTTTCCGCGGCACTTTTTATATCAGTGTAGAACTCTTGCTTGCGTTCCTCGGATGCAAATACTTGAGCTGAATTGTAATCTTCATAATAGGATTCTGGTCGAGGACCTTTACTGGGTGAGAAGTATCTGAGGAGCGTATAGGATCGCTCGCCCTTATCAAAAGTTATTATTTGAGTATCCAACCAATACCGCAGCTCATCTTCCAATGCTTTTATGTTGTCCTTTAAAAACTTCATGTCCTTAGTTTCTCGTATGTAAAGAGACATCATAGCTGATAGAAGAGGGGGCTGGCTTCTATTCTGATAGTACCATCTGCTGCCATTAGGGACATGACCAATAGTCTTCAGTAACTGGATTAAATTCTCAATCATACCCCTTGCGGTTTCTTTCATTCCGCTAATGAGCAAACCTTCAACAATCCAGTAAGTATCCCAATAGTATATTTCAGTGAACCTTCCTCCAGGTATAATAAATCCGTTACTGATAGGGACAAAGCTAAACCTATCAGGACTTTGTAGGACCTGCGACTTGACTTTCCTGCCAAGGTCAGGCCAGATAGCGTTAATATCTTTACCGAATTGTCTCAATTGTTCGTCGTGGATACCAAAAAGAAACTGAGGATTTTCTGTGTAGTCCGACGGCGTCCACTCCTCGAGTTCGCTGGTAGAGTCGAAGTGTTTGTCGACGAACGCTTGGAGCTGTTCTTTGGTGGGATTTTCTGTTTCGTTGAGCAGTTTCCTAAAATCTGCAAGGATTACTTCCTCGGAGTCTCGCATGTGAAGATCGACGAAGGTTTTCGAGTCTGGGTAGAGCCGTGCCATTTGCACATGGTGAAGCAGTTCGCTGTCGCAGTAGATGGCCTTGTTGCAGGACGGCGGAAGATCATCAGCGGCTGCCACTGCAGCCACCAGCAGAAGAAGAAAATGATACATCTGTAAACAAAATATAATAATTTACAAAGACTTTCTTAACAATTTCTATTTACATTAACACTCTTTGGAGTTTTATTTAATATTACATGGTCCTATAGCATACAGGCTTTTCGTAAATATGGCTTGCGATTTCCATTACCACTATTCTGCAGCATCGCAAGGCCCAGGACTATTACAGAGAGATGGAGGTATGTCCCAGGTAAAGAGTCTCTCCCTCCCTACAATGTGATTATTTTCGCACAGAGATTCCATGGAGCAACCCAGGCAATAATTAGTTTCATCTATGCTACTAATTAAAATAATCAATAGTTAGATAAGCATAAATCGATATTTTCGATTCGTTAGGAATAATGCCTTTTTCATAAACTGACATCTCAAGGTTCAAGTGACTAGATAAACTAGCTAAGTCATATATATGAAATAATATTGCAATGTGTTAGGTTACTGTCAGCGTTTTTTAACTGCGCAAATTCCTTGGCCCAGTGACTACATTTTTTGCAAATAACAGGTTTAGTATTTTAAAGAACATTTTAATTAGATGATTTCATAGCCAAGGCCAAAATCAATAAACCGGGGACTTCCAAAAGTAGGAGTTTCGAAATTTGATTGTTTATTTTTTATAATTGTTTTTTTGTGCATACACCGCTGCACCGCCACGTTTGTAAACTGTTTTGATGAATATGTTTTATTTCAACCAATTATTTTTTGTTTCAACCAATTTTTTTTACCTACTCGTAGTTCCATTAGCATGTAACTGCTGCTGCAACCTGCAACGTTGCTTTTCTGTGGGAGAGGCTCTAATCGGTGAACAATACGAACAGGATATTTGATTAAACAATAGACATTATTGCAAGGCATTGCAGATACAGAATATACCTATAGAAAGCCAAAGAAACATCATTACTTCGTCAAAAAATAGAAATTTTCCTGAAACTTTCTAAACAAAAAAATCGCATTGGAACCTGAGAAATCTACTGATATTTCCAACCTAGTGCATGCATACCTGTATGACTCAGCAATGAATTGTTTAGTTTTTGTACGTACCTATTTTAAATGTTTTTTGAAAAACCTCGTAAGCCCACATTAATCACAATACTTAACTTTTTACTGCTGTTTTTATAAAGGGTACTAAGTTTATAGAAATGATAACAAAGAAGCATGGCCTTTTTTGAATTTTTGAGAACATAAAGTTAGCTAAATTTTTCATTTTACCTAACTGCAAATTTGTTGCAAATGCAGCTTTATCAAAAAGATTCACTACTTTATAATACCGGAAGAGTTAATTAACCATAATTATCTTTAAGTTTGTATTAATTTCTAAGGGAACAATCATTGTCCCCAAATTAAACCTTTATGGGTTTTTAGCTGTCTTATTTGAATGTTTTATTTAATATGTTTTAAACTTCGTTTATAGCTCAAAGATCTCTATAAAAAGGGGAAATATACTTAGACTATGATATAAGTCTAATCATCAAGATCAAAACATGGACCACGTAGGTATATAAAGAGGTGTGTTTGAGAGGGTGTATAAACTTATTTACACATACTTATGAATATAACTTCTACATTTATTACTTAAAACAAAAGAGCTTTAAAAACTTTACGGAAAGCTCTAAAAAGCGTACAACATACGTCACGAAACAGTAATAGGATAACAGATAGGATAGGCGAATCAAGTGTCGCCCCTGCGACGGTGGGGTGTCCGTCGGAACGCGGTTGCCCCATGCCTCTGGCACGGAAATGAGCCCGCGCAGACTACTGTGCGGACACCGCCGAGCAGGCCTACGCGAGCCAGCGCCCTGCGCATGCTCGTGGCCCGCTCAATTATGGCGAGGCGAAGTTCCCGGGGAGTTTAGTGGAGTATTTCCGGCCATCTCTTTAGCCGGGTGAGTCCCACACACCCGCGCTCACTATCCCAGTGGGCGGGGACGGTGCAGCGGTATGCATTCTCCCCATTAAAAAAAAAGGCGAATCAAGTGTCGGAATTATTCAAATTGGGGAGGCTACCTTCTAAGCTTGAACTCCGTAGTTTCACTGTTCAAATGAATCTGTCATAATTACACAGTTCTAATCCTACTTCCTACTAATATTTTAATTGTGAAAGTTTGTATATTTGTTGGTCAATCGCGCAAACACTACTGAACGGATTTGGATTAAGTTTATAACCTGAATAGGGATGATGACTATTTTTTTTTCTTCTTTTATCAGGTAGATTATCAAAAAGTATTGGACACGTATTTTTTCTTTTTTCACATAATATAAACATTGCAGAGATATATTGATTTGAAAAGTCACGATGATGTCACGTTTCGGTACACTTTTAAGTAAAAATTTCACTTAAAAAAGTGACGTCACGTGTCCCTACTCCCAAACTTGGCGCGCTATAACTTTGTCATTTTTTGGTTGATTGCCCAAAGAAAAAATATATGTCCATTATTTTTTGATCATCTAACTGACGGACTAAATAGAATTTCGTTTACTGTACCCCGTCATCACCCCTATTGAGAGGATACATTTTTCCCTGTAAAAATGTTAGATTCCTGTGGGATTCTCAAAAAACTTAAATTAACCCTGAACAAAGTCGTGTGAGTTCAAAGTACAGCGCTTCTTCCAAAGTAATTTTGACTCATTAAGCTGTTTATTTTAAAATAATAACGAATGAAATTACAAAAAAACCGACCAAGTGCGAGTCGGACTCGCGCATCGACACGGTTTCGTTCAAAGCGGTATATTTACGGTTTTCGCAATTTACCTTTATCTGTGCTATAAGACGTTGCTTCGTACCAAATTTCAAGATTCTGAGTTCACGGGAAGTACCCTGTAGGTTTTGATTCCCATTAATCCCTGCACTGACCACCTTATTAATAAACGAGAAATAGGCTTAGACTCCAGGAGCTCGATGGCGTAAGTGATTAGCGCGTTCGGCTGCGATCGTTGAAGTTAAGCAACTTTCGCAGTGGTTGGTCATTGGATGGGTGACCAAAAATGTATTATCACGAGCTCCTCCATGCTTCGGAAGGCACGTTAAGCCGTTGGTCCCGGCTACATCTGTAGTCGCTAGCACCAACCAATCCTCACTGGGCCCGCGTGGTGGGTCATGGCCCAATCTCCCTATTCCGCCCATAGCGAAGGCCTGTGCCCCAGCAGTGGGGACATTAATAGGCTGATGCTGATGATGAAGCTTAGACTAGTTAAGCCGTGTTTTTTCATATCACATCGAGTCATTCGACAAAACATCGAGTAACTAAACCAAGCTTCATCATCAGCATCAGCCTATTAATGTCCCCACTGCTGGGGCACAGGCCTTCGCTATGGACGGAATAGGGAGATTGGGTCATGACCCACCACGCGGGCCCAGTGCGGATTGGTTGGTGCTAGCGACTACAGATGTAGCCGTTGTACAGATCTTCGTTTATTAATAAAATTTTCTTAAATATTTGCATGAAGTTTTAACTTTTTATACAAACATTTATTTTTAATTAGAGAAGACTCCTTATATGATGTACTTCAACGCCCTTCAAGCTTTATCTGTATTTTTGTAACAGCCTCTCAACATCTATAACTATATTATAAAGAAATAAAAAAAAAAAAAGAATTTCTTCAGCTTAGTAATATTGGTATAGATATATAGTGAGCTACAAAGACGAACTAGCTTACACCTATGTGATATCAATAAATAATTGCGAGTTAAATCTATTGCGAAACATTCGCGGCGTCGTGACGTGCCATTTGAGAAACAATGGGTGCTTAAGGCATAAACCTACGTACCGTCGACCCTTGAAGACTAAGCTGTATGAAGCTAATCTAAACTAAAATTTATTGGTTTATTTCATGCTTCCGACCATATGATTATAAGCCATAGCACAATACAAGGACTTTTTTGCGGGATCGGGAAGCGTCACTTTAGCAGTTTTGTTTTTCTTGTTAAAAATGGTGTTGTGGCGGATGTTAGTGTTTAATAATGGTGGATTATTAACCACTAAGTCTTCGAAAACATGCACAAGTGTTGGCAAGTGAAACAAAATAGCGGAAAGTGTCTTTCGACGTTCCCTCAAGAAGTCCACGGGGAGGTTCCAGTAAATCCCCACACTTTTACTGAAACATAGGGAAAGGGGGCTTAACTTGACTGCCACTTACTTTGACTTGATTTATTACTTTGACCACGAGTATTATTGTATTTGTAAACATTTTAACACTTGACATTGGCTAAAGACACAAGCCGTGCGAAGCTATTTAGAAAAAATAATACAATACTCTTCCTTTTCAACACAAAAGAGACTAAAAAGCAATTTTACAGCCGACTGTAAGTTTAAAAAAGTTTTTAGATATCTCTATGTATTCTTCTTAGTTTGAGACTTGCCATGTTGTTTGATACATAGTTAAATCGGACTATTGGTCAATATAACGTCAAATAGAGTCAATATATTGTTTTAAACTTTCATGGGCACTAACATTATATTAATATAAATTATTTACGGGATTGTTACCATGTACCTTGTTTTAAGCAAGTTTCCGATTTTTCGGCAATGTTGCGAGCGCCATGCCATGATCATGGTAACTATCCCGTAAATAATTTATATTACTACTAGCGGCCGCCCGCGACTTCATCCGCGTTAACTTTTAGTTTTTTTTTTTCTAAAATAAAAGATTTTTTCTTTAATAAAAGTAGCCTCAGTTACTTCTTATTACATCAGCTATCTGCCAATAAAAGTCCCGTCAAAATCGGTAAAGCCATTTCAGAGATTAGCCGGAACAAACAGACAGACAAAAATTGTAAAACATGTTATTTTAGTGTATGTACCGTATACCGTGTATATATTCATATGCATGTATATAAAGCGATTATTAAACTACTTGACCGTCACTGAAAGCTTTATATTGAGATAGCACTTCCGTTTCCCGTCGAATTACCATCAGTTTCCGTACTTTTAATCACCTTATATCCGGTCCAGTGGCGACACCTGGCAGAAGCGCGGCCATTTTTGTTTTCCTAAGTTTTG